GAACCCGATAGAACACCTTTGGGATGAATTAGAGCGGAGACTGAGAGCCAGGCCTTCTCGACCAACATCAGTGTGTGACCTCACCAATGCGCTTTTGGAAGAATGGTCAAAAATTCCTATATACACTCTCCTCAACCTTGTGGACAGTCTTCCCAGAAGAGTTGAAGCTGTAATACCTTGCAGGTGGACCAACATCATATTAAACTCTGGGTTAGGTATGGGATGGCACTTCAGTTCATAGTAGGAGTCAAGGCAGGTGAGCGGATACTTTTGGTCATATAGTGTATAAGAGTTACAGGAATAAAGAAAACGAATGAACACACACACACACACACACATAGACTCCTACCATCAGCCTGCTCCACAGGCACCATGTGGGAAGAGGCGCTACCCTGAACGATGCTGTCTCCCACCATGTGACCATACTGTGTCAGCACTCGCAGCAGCTCTGACACATCTGGACAAAGACAAACAGTTCAAGAAACCGTGTTCAATCAAATGATTATAAACCGAGCGATCGGGAAAATTAGAACTAAATCGACCGGTCCTTCCACAAACCTGCACCGTCCTTCACGAAGGCCTCTTTAGCTGACTGCAGACGATCCAAACAGTCCAAGGAAGCCCGACATCTAGATGCTAGGTAGTCTGCAGAAACGAACCCGGCGACAGTTTAAAAACCTGCCCGCACCCAGCAGCGGTCAGTGTCTGGCCAGCATTGCAGGCATTTCTGTGTACCAGTGGTGCATCTTCATCCACAGTTGCAGCCTTTATGTCAAAAACTCCACTTTTTGAACTTTTAACTTTTAACAGTGTAAATAATACGAAACTACCGTTTTCGATGAACACATACGGAATTAAATGTTCATATCAATGAACTTGTCTACCGCTGTGCCTTTTCTTTTGCATTAGCTCCATCCATTACTTTGGGAACCACCGTACTGTAGTCTGACCTGCAGAGCTGGTGCAGCTAATGTGTGCAGGGTCGTCGATCTGAGCCAGCGAGTCTCGGATGATCCTCTCCCCCTCTTCCACCGCTCCCTGCAGAGTGGACCAGCGAGATGCTAACAGCTGTCTCTCCAATTCCTGTTCTCTGCTCTCCTGTGACACACACACACACGCACACACACAAACACACATACATTGAGTGAGTCAAGTCTTTTGAACATGACACTGATTGTATTGAGCGAGTCCAGTCTTTTGAACATGACACTGATTGTATCAGATAGATACAAAAGTTGGGACAGAGGCAAATCTACCACTGGATGAGGATGTCTTTTGAACCGGCATTTTAAATATGCAGAGGTTAAATAGCTGTAAAAATAAAAAAATAACTCAATAACTCAATGTTGCCATTGCTTTCAAATGCTTGAATGCCCTCCCGTAACAGTATAAAACGGAAGCATCGAAGCCAATTTAAGAATGAGACCTAAATGATTTGGATTCCGCATGAAATTATATTTTTAATTCATTCATCAACAGCTCCGTAGATAAAACTCGTTAACCTTCTCGTTCAGCTGATTCTGCAGCAACTCCGCCGCCTTCACGCCGCATTCCCTCTCCGCCGTGAGTGAGGTCTGGGCCCGTTCTAGCTCCTCTCCCTGGGCCACCAGCTCCGCCTCCACCTTGGACAAAGACTTCACAAGCTCGGCCTTCTCCGAATGCATGGCGGCAAGCTCGGTGCTGAGCGCTTCACTTGACTGAACAGAGGGAACAAAGGAGAGAGAGAGAGAGAGAGAGAGAGAGAGGAATAAAGGAGGCAATAAAGATGAGGAAGGAGACAGTGGCTAAATGTATTTAAGAGAAACAAAGGGAGGAGGACGCGGTCGGGACACGGCGTCGCTGTCAGGATGTGGTAGGATGCAGTAACACACTTCAACCACCCAGTCTAACAATTCTACCTTGGTCTACGTTTGTGGAAATTCACACAAGAGATTTGGGCTGAGGGGAAAGTTCATAACCAAAGGAATTCTGCGAACTTGGCTGCAATGCAACAACCAGTCTTTTTTTTTTTTTTTTTTGGCAGAAGAGGTGGAGAAGCATGTCCTGCTTATTCATGGGTTGTGAAATGAAAAAATTACTTCATAAGAGGGAGAGAAGCCATAATGGTCAAATAGAGAAGGGAATTTGAATGATAGGAGTGGAGGAGAGCTGGGAGAAAACGAAAATAAGACGGAACGATAGCAAGCAGGCTTCTTTGTAAAGTGGAAAGTAGGAGGTCTTTTGACGTTGGAGACATGGAGGAGGGTAGGAAAAGTGATGGGGCTGATATGTAGGAGCTGCAGAAATAGCATTACAGCAGTGGGAGGCTGAGACAAGGAGATGAGGTATGAGGAAATATGCAGGGGGAAAACGGGTGAAATCGGAAGGAAATGGCGTCGGAATCTGTCAGAGTGCCGTAAAGGGTTTGAACGTTTATTATTTTTATTATTTTTATGAATCTTTTTATATATTTATGGTCATGTTTTGTGTTCATTTCTCACAGGAAAATACTCTATATTTGAAGTACCGTAATTTCTGGTCTATTTTGAACCCTTTGAACCCTGCAGCTTAAACAATGCTGTGGCTAATTAATGGGTTTTTATGGGCTAATGAAGTTCATTATCCAATAGGAGGCTCCTACCTATTTGCTTCGTTAAATCCAGGTGGCGACTTTTTTTTTTTCGGCCAGGCAGTGTACAACTGCACTACAACTCAAGATGTCGGATAAAAGGGTTTACAAGTCATTTTTTGTCTAAAGTGTAAAAAGTGATGTTTCTGCTGCAGACGAGTCGACTGTGAGGACGATAGTTTTGGCACCGGGGGTAAAAAAAAAAAATGAGGAGAGTTAGATGAGCAGACATTTCAAATAGCGCAACACGTCATCTGGGAACAGAGATTTATCAGCAGAAGATCAGCCCGTGTCTACAAGAGCAAACATCCGCTGCTATTTATTCCTGAAAAAAAACTGCTCGACATCAACAGAGTAGTGTTGATGCTCAAGATCGTCACAGTCGAATCTCAAAAACCGACACCGAGTACAAATGATTTGTTTCATGCAAAGAATAAAAGCACAAATTAATGCAAAAGACATTTGTTCATTAAAATAACACTAATATTAATTTATGCAATTGCAGTGCCTTGATAGCCATAAATGCAATGGTACTGAAAAATGACATAATCATTTCTTTCAGTGGTCGTTGGCCAAGAATTTTAACATCAGTGCATCACTAGTAAATATATATGTATATATTTAAATAAATATGTCAATACTATAATAACTATCCCGCCTCTACTTCGCAATGTTTTCCCGTTTCGTGGTCTTGCAACTACTACATTTTATCCACTTTATCCTGAAATATCTTTCCCAAATAAATGAATAAGCACCACTGGTACCCATTAGTAATTCACCCTCAAAATGAGGATGGACTGGAGAATTATGCAGAGAAGTGAGAGACCTGCTGTGATGAAGCTGCGGTCGTTTTTAGGGAGTCCAGTTCTGCCCGGCTTGATACCAGCTCCCTCTGAAGCTCCTGTAGACTCTCCAGCTGCTGCCTCTCCTGGGGGGGCGAAAAGTCCAGATTTGATTTCAAACATTTAGAAAATGTATCTGGGTAACTACGTTTGGATAAGTTACTCTGTTCAAAGAACTAACAGTAGTAATTGATGGTAAGAGACTGCCAGGAAATCAAACGTAAAGCTCTGTAATGGCTATGGCTATTTATATTATCTGCATTTTCCCTGTAATGCCTATATTTCTCCAATAGATGGCATAACAAAAAGATCAAAGCAATTGAGCATTTTAGCCTGTATGACTTTTACATATCATTTATCTGATTAAGTTCACTGGAACGCTCCATCTATCTGCTCCTGACCCGGCCCCCTGTTCAATTTTAGGACCCCTTGTGGCCCGGACACAGTCAAATACAGTCAAAGTCAAATAGTTTGCCCACGTCTGGACTAGGAGCTGCATCCTTCCGAGCCAAAAAAAAAAAAACTGGCAACTAATGTTTTACCTGTCTGCCTGCAGCATCCTGAGCTGCTTTCACTTTCTCCTGCATCTCCTTCCTCACCGCCTCCACCTCATCCTGTGCTGATCGAGCCACCGTTATCTGCCGCGTCACTTCTGCGTTCTACACACATGCACAAAAGGACACAGAACATAGATATACATTTGTAAGAAAAAAAAAAGGTCCCTTTTTTTCCCCTGTAAAGATACAGTTAAAAAAGGGTCGTTTCTTGCCTTCCTGAGCAGGTCTGCATGGCTCTGAACCAACTCTGTGTACTTCTCCTTCAGTTTGGTGTAACGCTGCTCATTGGCCTGAGCTTTTTCTGGCGGGACAGACGGTGAGACAAAGACAATCTTTGGTTAAGGAAGGAGCATCAACATGGTGTGGAAACATTATTGGTTTGCTTCATTTACCAGACTCAATATTGAGCTTCTTTTCCATACTTTACTTTGATCTGACACTTTCTTTATTACTGTATTTTCCGTACTGTAAGTTGCTCTTTTTTTTGGGTTTGCGACTTATACTCCAGGTGCTCAGGACTTAAAAATATTATTCATGTTTTGTTATTTTCACACTGACAGCCGCTAGAGGGCACTCTATGCTTGTATACCAGTACCTACCGCTCCTGTTCCACTGAAAATTTACATCTTGGTTGTTTTCACACTCACGGCCACCATAGGGCACTGGTGTTACTTTGGATGGAGCGACCTGTATTCCTGAGCGACTTATAGTCAGTAGAAAGTCGTTGAAAAACAATGAAAAACGATTTACTCTCGATCTCCGTCAGGCTCCTCTGCTCTTTTTCCGTGTCCTCCCTGACCCTCCTCAGGTCGTCCAGCTCTGCCTTCAGGAACTCGCTCTCCCCCATAGCCTGCAGCCTCAGGTGGCTCTGCTCAGCAAGTTCCGCTTCGAGCTCATTAACACGCCCCCGGAGCACCTGACACAAACGGCCACTCTGGTGAAGGACAGAGAACACGGTAAGTAGAAGAGAGTCAGGACAGAGGAGATCAAATGACTGGTCAAAAACCCCATATTTTTCAGATCTTTACCTCTAGTCTGAAGGAGTCAAGCTCTTCTTTTAAGGACTGGATTTCCTTGGTCAACTGTTCAATCAGTCGGTCTCTGAAACGGGAACAGAGATTGAATTTAGTAAAAACAACAACCTGATTTTCAACCTGAAGAGAAAAACGAGGTCAGCGCGAGACGACAGTGAGTTTTTACTTGTCATCGTTACGCATGCCGTTCTGATTGTTGAAGTTGAACGGATCTGCAGCAGCCGAGGTTCCAAACAAGTTGTCGAACTTTGTCTCTACAGGAGCCTGAAAGACAGATGGAAATAAAAAGAAAATGCAAGGATGCTTATGGAAAGCTAGAAATACTACTACAAATTATAGTTACGCCAATTATATTTAAGTGTAAAACAAAGTGAATTATTGTTGCATTTTGAACGAACATCATCACTTATCAGTTATTCAGTTAAATAAAAAAGTTGATATAAATACATCTATCTATCTGTTTATGTACAGTTTCTGTCTTATTTGAGAATTTTAGTACCACTTAGAGAGAACGTAGAACGGTGTAGTTACCGGCAGTTGGGTGACATCCGTGTCCACCAGGTCGTCTGTCTCTGTCATGTGTTCAGACTCAGGGGATGAAGACTCAGTTGGAATCACGACCACAGGGCTGATGTGCTCCGACAGTGCTGACGCTCGTAGGAAGTTAGGAGGGTTCTGGAGGAAGTGATACAACTGAATTTAAGCCAGCTCATTTCAACGCATGTTACGTGTAATTTGGATGTGAGCTGAGACTCTTGTTTTCCGAATTTGGATCCTAAAAATAAAAATGACTCTACCTGACAACAGGTAATAATTTGAAAGGAATTTGTAAAAAGTGAATTCAATTGACACATATTTAGGGTTGAACAAACAAGCAAACAAAGACAAAATGACCAAAAAGTAAAAATGACAGAAAACGCATACAAATGCGTGTGTTGATCCCACAAAAATTCTTGACAAAAAACCACCACCTTGGCTACAAAAAAAAAATTCCAAATATGCCTCAAAATGCAGTAAAAGGTTCTAAAATACATACCATGTGTATATTTCATGTTTAAAAACACACAAAAAACATTAGTTTATAAAAAACTACACAGAAACACAAAAATCTCCAAAACAGTACAAAAGGCCTCACATCCTATAAAATATGTAAGCATGTGTATAATTTGCACCATATTTATGATAAAACGTGACATTTTAATATTAATATGGATTTCATGATTTTTTTTTAAATGTCTAAAAACAACTCAAAATGCATCAAAATATTTAACAATGTATATAATTTCAACTGAAATTACCAAAGAAAAGTTTTTAGTTTTATTTGGAAAACCTGACACAAAATGACCATCCCAGATGGTTTTCATAAAAAAATCCCAAAATATAAAATAACCAAAAACGCCCCAGAAGTTGTAAAACTCTCCTAAATGTCTCTCCTAAGTTCTACACTCCACACTGACCCACTTGGACGGCAACGGGAACTATGTGCGGATGTTGTGCCCTGACTATAGTTCCGCATTCAACACAATGGTTCCTTACAATCTCAAAGGCTTGTGAGCTTCAATACTTTTTGGACTTTGTATGACCTCCATATTGCTGCACTACGTATTACCATTACAATTACCTACTGACACTGTTTTATTTATATTTATATATACAGTATATATATATATATAAATATATAAAAAATAAATATAAATATATATATTTATATATATATTATATATATATATAAATATAATATATAATATGAAATATATATAATATGGTGGCGCTTTGGCCCAGAGGCAATGTCTCTGTCATTGGTGTGGAACCCCAGGGTTCACCTCCTGGGCAAGTTCGAATCCCGGTTAGGGCGGTTGGTACCTTCCAGTGGACTCACCACCCACAGGAAGGTTTGG